TAAATCGTGGCGAAAGCACAAATCGAAACTTAACTTAGTTGTAGGATTTTCCATATGAATAAAAAACATTCCGAAAAAACTTCAGCTGTTGTTTTCCGGCTCGTTTTCGACCTCGCACGGCGCCAAATGCAAATTTTGACCTAACAGCACGTGCAGTATAAGCGTGCGCGATAGCTGAATTTGAAATCTTATGGCCTAAGCGTGCACAACGAATATTCCTGCGAATTTTCGGCTTTCTATCTTGTCTAGTTCGCAAAATCGTTTCCAGACAGATAAATATGCATATTTTTTCGGGGTCTGTACGCGAGATCTAGGCACGTTTGAGCAAAGATTTTAAAAAAGGAGGGTGACAAAAGGGGTGGGAATATGCCCCCAAAATTTCAGCCTCTCAGCTTCCCTGGTTGCTGAATTGAAAGTGGGTGACAAGTTCAATCGCCTATGAACACACACACGGACGATCTCTCAATAATTTGCGTTTTTATACGTTTTTGCTGTGCAGCGCTATAGAAGTGCTGTATTTAGGGCGCTTCAAAGATATTTGTAGCGAAATGGATATTTCGCTTGCCTGATAAGCTGCGAGGCTGAGAATTCGCTGAGATATTCTACTTTCAATTGCGGTCTTAATTCTGCTTGGAGGTGGAATTCCCTCCAGGTAGGCGTGAGAAATACTCAGTTTTACCGAAAAATCAGAAACGAGTGCGTTTCGCAGCGAACGATTGCCCTCACCCAAATATGTAAATGAACATTAGTGTATTTGCATACCTAGATTTTTTGACAAACGACCGCCTGAGCAACAGTTCCACTTTTTAGTGAACTGGAAATTTGCATTTTTCATTTTTTCACAAAGCGAGCATTTACCGAAAAAACGACCGGACTTCACGGAAAAAACTGGTAATCATGCATCTGGATGTCCGTTCGGGTCTATAACGCATCACCTTCATCCCAACTGACGCCCTTCCTCCTACATGTTGGAAGGGGCCAAAGCACAGCCAATATGAGTTCAAATGTTAGGCTACGGCGTGAGGGTCATGCCTGCTAATAGCGATCTGCGAGTTAGCGATGGTTCTCTCTTTCATCACGTTGAATATCGGGCCTAACCCCAACTTTTCCAAAAAGATCCTTTGTGTTTGCCTTCTAAAGGCCTGTAGGGATACGAATGTACAACAGCACGTTTGTGATTAAACAACACACGTTTTTCTCACGCAAATCCAGAGCCTCCCGAGATCCTCTCTTCCAGATGAATTTGCTAGCAAAATGAAATGGGGTACAGCTGCTAAACGAAAGTACAATGAATCGATTGTGCTATGTGGTACCAGTCATGTCCCATACACTTATAAGCAGCCATCGTACACACCAGTTGCACCTGGTGTGCACACCATACACAGTCCCCATTCAAACCACGCGTAGTCTCCTATACACGTACGGCGCCATGTACCGCATACAGACGCCGTACACCATCACACATCACCCGCGTACACACTACGCACAACCACTCAGCAAAAGTGCGTAAGGCACAAGTGAGATGCATTTCAAATCGACGTTGCAAACTCGGCGCGACCCGTTGG